GTACCTGTCAATATACAAATCATTTATTATTTTGACTAATCATTTGCTTGCAAAGGAAGTCAGTCCCTCTCTGTTCATGATACAATAAGAAATGTTTGAACGAAAAGAGAAAAAAAAAAGAAAGACTGCCTCGTTGGCCGAGTGGTCGCCAAGGGTGACTGCCGGGCAAGGGGTCTCGGGTTTGATTCCTGGGTCGGACAAAGTATTACTGGGTTTTTAAAAAAATCTCAGTAGTAGCACGGAGTCTAGAATTGTGCTCAGTATATGGCAATAGGCTCACCCCCTATTACATGGGACTCATAACATTTTTTTATAATAACTATCGTGAGAAATACTTAGTTAACTAAAAATATTGATATCAAATCAAACAATTAACAAAAAAATAAATATTAATACAATTATATTTCGTATATTTAACACAGATAAATGTGATACATCGCAAAGTTTTCGATCCCTCCCTCCCCCTTGTCACGCAATGTCACACTTCGTCGACCCCTTCCTTCCCCCTTAAGTTGTGACGTAACTTATGGATGGTCCCTTAATTAGCTACGTAGATCGATTTACTCTAGTAACTGTTTGACGAGGTAATTCGCCAGCATTTTGTAAACTGCTATTAGTACATACCTGAGCTCCCAGTTCCCTGGTAGGCACGAGTACGAGGACCCTGGTGACCCGCTGGCCCGCGCTGGCCTTGTACAGCAGTCGCTCCAGTATGGGCAGCATGTACGCCGCCGTCTTACCTGTACCCGTCGCCGCGCACGCACATACGTCCTTACCTGCGGATACCGGGCGTTCATTTATGTGCTACTAAATTATTATTTTTAATAATAAATTTTAATAAATAGGATATTTTTCTAACCCGCACTAACAGTAGACCGCACCGAACGCCTGCCGGCGGTTAGCCACTTTTTAAATATTATATTAAATAGACGTTTCAACCATCTAGGGCCTAGGCGGTTAACCGATTGTCGGTAAGGTAAGGAAAATTATATTTAACATATTAATTTAATTATATTTCGCCTAATTGTAATGAAAACTTGTCTTTCAGAAGCAAAAAGGTCAAAACCTTTTTATTATAAGTATAGTAAAATTATTTTTTGATTAAAAAGTTGACAAACTTACCAAGCAACGCCACAGGTATAGTAGCGGCCTGTATGGGCGTGGGATGCACGTAGTTGAGGGTGCCTATAGCCTTCAGCAGCGGTCGGGACAGGTTCATCATGTAGAAGGAAGCGTTCTCGTCGTACGGAGGCGGCTCCTCGAAGAAGTCTGAGTCATATTCTATGCGGGCGCCCTGCTCAGTCTCGTCTTCTAATTCCTGTGTGTTTGAAGATAAGTTTTAGTCTAATATAGACTTTTGGTTAAGTGTAATAAACCTTTTGAATAATTTAATTAAAAATCGCGGGTTCCTCACGTGAAAATACTGAGATACGGCGATGTCGCGCAGCCTGCTGTAATGTACTACAAGTAGGCTGCGCGACATCGCCGCGACCCCAACTTATGGTACAGAAAGAAGTAAATAAGAGCCACGTCTGTGGCTCGAATCTAGTAGACCTTTTCCCAGTATTTTCACGGTATGAGTATGCTGCGATTTTTTAGTTAATTTAAATAAAAACAACACTTTGAAATTAATATTTGAAATACTTAATTTATTTATAGTATTTGTTCTGTGCTTTTAGTACCCACATGTACCTATACCAGTTACGTTATGAGAACCATGTATTATAATTACACTGGGCGCCAATGCCTATTACGACAGGCACAATCCAATGATTAAAAAAAACCATATTCATTCAGAATTAATTAAGAATGTTGAGGCTAGTAACTCAGGTGTAAAGTTTTAATTTTAGGAAGTTATGAACGTTGGCCGAGTGGTCGCAAGTGCGACTGCCGGGCAAGGGGTCTCGGGTTCGATTCCCGGGTCGGGAAATTCTCAGTAGTAGCACGGAGTCTGGACATGTGCCCGGTATATGGCAATAGGCTCACCCCCTACTACATGGGACTCATAACATAAACAGTGAAAAGTGGGTGTTACATTGTACAGTGGCATAATGTGCACCTCTGCCTACCCCTTCGGGGATAAAAGGCGTGATGTTATGTTATGAAGTTATGAACTTAGATAAAACATCAGACCACCATAGATGGGGCCCAATAGCGCTGATGCCGATACAGAGCCGCGGAGGACCTAACGGGTTCCTGGGGAGGAGTAAGGACAGGGTGGTTTATAGTTAGTAAGAGTCTGACACTCCCTCCCGCCTCACCCCAGCGGGATTTATTGGATGACTTTCCCCCTCAAAAAAAAGAAATAACTAAAACATTAACTAATTCAGAGGAGAAAAGGCAGTACCTGTTTCAATTTCTCTTTCTTAGTGAGCTTCTTACGTTTGTTCTTGATTTCATCTTTTTTAAGCTCATCATCCGATATCTCCAGCTCACCCGTATCATTTTCTGCAAATTACAATAAATAGCACAGTAAGGACAATTTCAAGTAAAACCTCAAGTCTCTCTATTAAAAATATTAATAGTGTAAAAACTTATTTCTTTTTTAATGGAATAAGCTGGCAAACATGCAGATGGATCACTTGATGGTAAGAAATCGGCGTCGTTTATGGACACCTGGAACACCAGAGGCGTTACAAGTGCGTTACCGGCCTTTTGGGGATTAGGAATTTGAGGAATGTTGGGGATTCAGAGATTGGGGAAATTGAGGAAGAGGGAGAGGGTAGTTAGGCCTCCAGTAATCTCACTAAACGAAACACAACGCAAGGGTTGTTTCACGTCAGTTTCTTGTGAGGCCGAGATATCACTTGACGCGTGTCTTATCATGGCTCTCCCATATTTACTCAAAAAGCATTATTTTATTTCATTTTACAAATTCATGAGTTTAAAATATCCACAGAATTGTAGTACAAGAAAGAAATAAAAGACAATCTTATGCTAAGTTCATTATTCAACTGTTATAGGATTATAAAAGAATGTTACCATACCATTGTTATCAACATCAGAGTCTGTGTCGACATCCTCAGCGTTCCCATTGACTTTGACTGCGGCTCTCCGCATCTGAATCTTGTCATCTAGCGTGTGTTTCACATTGCGCTTCACATACTTCTGGAGGTCATCCCATGGGCTCTGGATTATGTAGTTTATTGTTTAAGTTAAATTTCATAGAAAAAAGGTATTCGGTAAACTATGCTAGATGGACGATGGGTATGGAACCCTGTTTTTGTCATGGAATATTTTTACTGGCCTTTAAAAAGGAACAAACTCTTTTCTTGAAGGTTTGTGTATTTGTTGTCTTTGCTAGTTACAACAGATATATAATAATATACATTTTACTGATGCCATAAACAACATGAAATACACCACATACCTTATTATATTCATCTACACTTCCAACAAATTTAAAATTAGGGTTGACATCTGCTTTCCTTTTGATTTTCTGTTTAGATGGTTGATACTGGAAATAAAAATAACCATATAATTACACAAATATAATTACTTATATGGAGCATTCTAGAAAAAATGTTGGAATGCATGGCAATGATCATAATGGCCATGATACTCCTGTGACAAAAAAATATTGTGACTTATATCATGTAGAAAATAATTCTAAAGATTGCACTGTATCCAGATGACAGTGCGAACGTAAAAATTAAATATTTTATTCCTACAAAACCATGCAACATTACAATTATAAAATAATGATTATTTAAAGTACAAAAAAGAGTTGTTTAAATAAAATACAGAGATAAGTGTAAATATGAATACAGAAATGCACCATGCTATTGAGTTTCCAACAATATTTCACAATTATTTACAATGTTTTTAAACTAAATGCAGTGTGATAACTTACGTCTACTTCTTCATCCGATTCCTCGGAGAAGTCTTCAACTTCTTCACCATCCTGTATTGTTTTAATATACGTCGGTAATTCTATAGGTTTCTCCATAATTACTTTCCTTTTATTCACACGACATGCTTTACACAACTTTTGTAAATATAAATTCTCTTTGAGGCTTTGAGGTTATCCTTCAAAATCGCATGTTGCTCTGTCTGTCGTTCCGTTTCACATTTACATTTTCCGACTTTCCGAGCTGTCAATTTGGCAGTTCTAACCAAAGAGTATAGTAATATATAGGGTAAAGAGAGCCCTCTCTGGGCAATTTAAAGCAAACCTCTTTGAACGCCAGCGACATCTGAACATTGGCCCTGGAAACTATGCCCGGCTTACAACTTGAATACTACCTACTTATTAGTTTATTAATTTGAAAGTATATTATGTTCTAGCAGCTACATTGCTACAACATAATATACTTACAAATTAACAAACTAATTTTGCCCTAATGCAACATTATGTTTACTAGTTGATTTTGACATTAAGGAAAGAGTGTTACCCGATAATGTACTCGAATTGCATTTGTTCGGAATTAATTAATCATAAAATATTTTTTCAACGCTTTAATAAGAACGATAATATCGAATTTATATAAAAATATAACTATCTTATGAAAACTATTACTTATTATTAAAGTAACCGATACTATATGCATATTTATAATTTCCATTTTAGTTTCATTTTGCCTAGCTTACGATGTTTTTTTATTACATACCACACTGAAAGAGAGTTTTAGCTGTTTTTATCCTATTGTATAAAATACCATAATACGTATTTAAATATATTTAATATTAACTTCAAAAAGGTGTTAAATATTAGTTAATAATTTTCAATAAAACAAATTGATGTAAAATATTTAATAAAAAAAAAAGTATTATTAATGATAAATTATGACGCAGCGACATCTTGAATAAAATAGAGAACTAATCTGGGAATTATTTCCGGGCCATGTGATAGATGGCATCACCATCTTTGCGAAATGTCACTTCAAGGCGTCTGTCTCCCCCCTGGTTCTAACACAAACATTTTGCGTATAATGTATTTTTCTTTAGTCGATTCTCTGTCGAAGAAGTACTTCACTTTTACTATTATCTTAACTTTAATTATTCTATATTTTAATTTCACAACACTAGTGTCATGTCATGTCGTAAATGTCAGGTTTTCACAAGTGTATGTTAGAGAAAATTAAATTTATTTTGCCGATAAATCGTTAAGGATGGCAGATCTGCTAAGTATTCACGATGATATTAAATTGTAAGTTTGTTATTTTCTTAAAAAAATAATGGCATGTGCGTTACATTTTGTAAAAACGGCTCTCTCAAATCTTTACCTTACGTGTTTTTTGTATTCATGTTTTCCTTGAAGCCGTACACAATTTTGTACAATATGCCGTGTATTTATCATTAACAGTCACTGAAAATTGAATACAATCTTCTAACATGTTATAAATTCGAAGATTTTAATGTTTTATTTACGTTATTTAATCACCATAATTTGCATTATAAAGAAATAGTTTAGAGCGATATAAGTCGTTAAATAAAGTTAGCCGTATCTGATAATTACGTCACAAGCAATTATTTGACGACAGTGTAAGCTATACTGGCTATATTGTGTATAAACTCCATGATTTGCAACAAGTCTCTTGAAAAAAAGTTTAAAATAAAAATGTTGTATTGCAAGTCATTGCAAGTTTGTTAAGACTGTAAATTATACTAATTTACGTGTCATTATTTGCGGTAACCTTTGCACTTATACTTAGAAACTATTTGTTTTCAATTAAAAATTGTTAAATAATCAGAATCTAAGGAAACTGTTACTATGCCAATTATGTTTATTGTGGGTACTCTGAATTATAGTTATAGTAATTTCATTATTATATACTCAGATATCTGTATTTTGATATCGCCCAATGTATATAAAATATTCAGTACCTACTCCTTCGTTGTTTCACTAGCATGATGTTCTATATCCTATGACCTTCCTCAATATATGGGCTATCCAACACAAAAATATTTTTTCAAATTGGACCAATGGATCCTGAGATTTGCATGTTCAAACAAACAGTTCTTCTTCAACAAGTCTTCAGTTTTATTATAATAGTATAAGAATCAGTATTGACTGTAAATTATAAAAGTAAATGTAATAGTAATTTTGTTTGTTTCTTTACACTTTATCTACTAGTCCAATCTTCAATATGTTGTTATGCTTACTAAGATACCATAAGTCGACATTTCCATATGTATTATAAATTATTATAGTTACAACCTTACAAGCTGTTTAAACAAGTGACCTAATCATGACACAGAAAGCTATAGAGTTAAAGATGTTCAGGTGGGGTATAGCAAGGGTCCTCTCTGCATGTCTTTAAGGGCCAATTTTTCCAACGCCAGATAAATTTAATATTTTCTTTTTTTTTTCTCTCTCACATTCTTTGCTGTTAGTTTATTCTCCGTACCTTCTTTTTCGCTGATTTTCAACTTAAACCCTAAGGTTGACTGGTAGAAAATGCCATATGGCATTAAGTTCGCCTTATGTGCCATAATAAAATTGTGTACATAAAAGAATAAATAAATAAATAAATAAATGCTTAAAAAAAAATTTAATTGTGGCACTGTTATTTTTGTGAAGAAGAAATAAATATATTTTAACTGAAGAATAACTAGCAGAATTTGACAATTCTTCCATACTAAAAACTGTGATTTGTTAATTTTATTTTAAAGTAAAACGATTTAATTAATTACAATAACAAGTTGCCCCATGCTAGGATTTTCTTCTGTGTCGTGGTTGCGTTTACAAACATACAAGTTTATACATACACTTGACACCTATACCCCGAACCATAATTTGTGGGTCACACAAAGAGTTGCTTCGTGCGGGAATCGACCCCGCGACACGTTGCGCGGTCGTTGGTTGCTCAGCGACCGCACCAACCGTTCCGCCAGATGAACTGATGATTGAAAAATCTGCACGTAAGACATATAATGCCCATAGCATTAAGTTTACATATATACCTTTGTTATGGTAGAGTTTTAAATAAATAGAAGTTTGACATGATACATAATAGTAATTAAATATTTTACTTTCAGATATACAACTTCAGACAAATTCTATTTGGAGCCCACAATACATCCCACAGAGATTCTGGTTATAGACAGAGTCACTGGGGAAGCTACTGTCAAAGGTATGTTTGTAATAATAAATCAATTCTTCTTATAGCCAAAGAATGTGGCTCTATGGGTTTACAAATTGACTAGGGAACTGCAGCAGTCAACACCTATGCTGAATAGTCTGGAATCAATTCTCTTTAGGTTCCTATATCTACACCTAGGAATGAGCAAATAGCATGTCTTGAAATTTTTTGTTGACATTCAAAAGTATCTATCTGGTCTTATTGAAATAAATGATTTTGATTGTAACTTTGAACATTCACTGTATATGAGTGTGATGAGTGTACAATTTTGTACTTAGAGAACTGCAATGTCAGTATTTACTAACAAATTATATTCCAGTTCTCTACGGCTACGATTACACGGTTGGCGCAGTGCTTTGGCAACTGGCTGCCGTTCAATGTGTCGCTGGTTCGATTCCCGCAAGGAACAACTCTTTGTGTGATCCACAGATTGTTGTTCCGGGTCTGGGTGTCATGTGTATGTGAACTTGTATGTTTGTAAACGCACCCACGACACAGGAGAAGACCTTTTTTTTTAAGGTTGGAAAATCATCGAATGACTGCTCCCGCCTGGGTGAGGCGGGAGGGAGTGTCATACTCTTACTGACTAAAAACCACCCCGTTCCTTCTCCTGCACGTCGAGTCGGAGCCCCGGTTACCCGTTAGGTTCTCCGCGACTCCGAATCGACATCGGCCGTATTGGGCCCCACCTGTGGTGGTCTGATGGCTCTTTGAGGCGCGCGCGGAACAGGAGAAGACCTTAATGTGGGGCGACGTTTAACAAAAAAAAAAAACACTATCAATTAGGGGATTAAAAATGTGATTTTAATGTTTTCAGATGTTGGTTCAGTAAAAATTCCGATCCCAGCGAATGCATACCGACCAGTGTGTGGTTTCCTGGGCTCAATCAAGCTCATATCTGGATTATATTTAGTTGTTGCCAAATATAGAATTTTGGTAAGTAAATATTTAACATTTTCTACTGCTACAAGAGTGCATTCAAAAACAAAGTCTTGCATGGGGGTAGGTAGGGGATATGGAATTAATAAAAAGAATTAATAAATAATTTTATGTATCACTACAGGTTGGCAAACTAAATGGGCACGAAATATATCAGCTGGCGGGCACAGACATCATACCGTATGCACGCTCCAACACACATCTCACCAGCAAACAGGTATGTTCCCAGTAGGTACAGCGTCTGTCAGTGAAGCTAAGTCTTCTGGAATGTAAATCTGTTTATAGAAGATCAAGCTAAGAAACTCTCAAGTTCTGAGCTAAGAAAACAATAATAAAGAAGGTTGGAATTGCAGCGTGTAGACGATTTCATTACCGATATTAATGATCTAACTTAATCTTCTATGTAACATCACGCCTTTTAACCTCGAAGGGGTAGGCAGAGGTGTACATTGTGCCACTGTACAATGTAACACCCACTTTTGACTATTTATGTTACGAGTCCCATGTAATAGGGGGTGAGCCTATTGCCATATACCGGGCATACTTCCAGACTCCGTGCTACTACAGACATTATTTTTAAAAACCCTGTATTACTTTGCCCGACCCGGGAATCGAACCCGAGACCTCTTGCCCGGCAGTCGCATTCCGCCAACGAGGCTATCTTTATCTTCTATACAAATAAAAATAAATTTCCGTTTATTAATCTCGCGAAAATTCGACAACCAGAAACCGATTTGGCAAATTTTGGTCTTGAAATGTTCGCGGAAATCCAGGGAAGGTTTAAAATATGAGAAAAAAAATTGTAGGCGGTACGAAGTTCGCCGGGTCAGCTAGCAAGAGATAAAAAAAGAAGAGACAAGAGATACAAACTATAGAACACTAGCTTTGCCCGCGTTAAATAAAGAATGGTAGACATTTTCGTTACTAACAAAGAGTCTGTGTACCAATTTTAGCTTCCTGTCTTGAAAACTGCGAAAAGCCCCATATAAATCACCCGCTCTTTTAATTTATTTCAAATTAAATTTTGGGCGATTTTTTTTTATCTAGTCATAAATAGTCAGCATACCAATTTTTAGCTGCCAACCTTGAAAATTGCGGAATGCTCCATACAAACTTCCACCTCCTATTTTAGGGAAGTGGGGTGTTAGAAAGGGGCGAAATTTAGCCTATGTTATTCTCCATCCTTTCAACTATCTGTACTAGAAAAATCACATCAATTCGTTGCTCCGTTTTGCCGTGAAAGAAAGACAAACGCACATACAGACCAACTTTCCCATTTATATACACAATTGGTTACTATGAGTATGAATACCATGTTCGTGCAGATAGATGACAACGCGACATACGAGCGCATGCTCCGCGCGGCGCTGGACACGGTGGGCATCTACTTCTCCTACAGCTACGACCTCACGCACTGTCTGCAGCGACTGCACTCTGTCACTCCAGACTTCCATAGGGTGAGTACTATAGTACTTTATTTACAGTTAACGATGAAATTAACCGCGATTTATGTGTTATTTGCCAACTAAGGTTTTACAGGTAATGTTTCCTCATGTAACTAAAGTATACCTTTTTGTTTCATATAGTTGTCATTTTATGGTTCTTTACACGATAAAATTGCCATTTTTTTTTATGGCATAAGCCGGTAAACGAGCAGACGGATCACCTGATGGTAAGCAATCGGCGCCGCCCATGGACACCTGGAACACCAGTGGGTTGTTAGTGCGTTACCGGCCTTTTGGGGAATTAGGAGTTTGAGGATCGTTGGGGATTCAGGAATTGGAGAGGAGATTGGGGAAGGGGAGGGTAATTGGGCCTCCGATAACCTCACTCACACGACGAAACACAACGCAAGCGTTGCTTCACGTCGGTTTTCTATGAGGCCGTGGTATCACTCCGGTCGAGCCGGCCCATTCGTGCCGAAGTATGGCTCTCCCACACTTGATTCGAAACTGTAGTTTTTTGTATGGCAAAGTTGTAAGCAAATACCTATTGGTATGCAATCGAGTCGCCCATGGTCACTCGTAATACCGCTAAAAGTGTTTTATTAGGCTTGGGGGGGAGGTGGAGCTGTGTTATTCCACCCTAGTTTTGTATGAGTTCTTATGTGACATTGTTTCCAGATGTCCATAGCGAACCGCGCGGATCCTCGGTTCCTGTGGAATGGCTTCCTACTGCGGGACTTCTCTCACCAGCAGTTCTCACGGTTCGCGCTGCCTATCATACAAGGCTGTATCCTTTTAACCGAACATTATTTAACTGTCTCTGGACACATGTTAGTATGTATAAAAACTGAATTAAATCATTCCAATGTGATCTGAATGAAGTCTGGTAAAAATGTCTTAAAATTTTTTTTCTAAGTCTTGAAACTCGAGCGATAAAATAAAATGAAATAAACCTTTATTGCTATAGTTACAATAAAAAAAATATATTACAGATGTAATCAAAGTTATAACAAAGAGGTAAGGAATAAAGCGAACTTAAAAACTACCCTAATATAATCAAAGCATTTGGTTTCTCTACTCTTACAACAGCTTGTCTTTCGACAAAGCCAATTTTTAAATTAATTACTCTTATAACTATTATATCGATGTATTAAAGTAAGAAAAAAATATTATAATATGTATTTATATGTAAGAAAAAGTATTGAATCTTATCTTAGACTATTATATAAAGCGGAAGAGTTTGTTTTTTTGCTTGAACGCGCTAATCTCCGTAAATTCAAGTCTGATTTGAATAATTCTTTTTGTGTTGGATAGCGCATTTATCAAGGATGGCTATAGGCTATAAAACATCACGCTATGACCAATAGGAGCTGAGTAGAGCGTGTGAAACCGCGCAGTAGTAGCTAGTCAAATTATACGTTTATTGTAACCTGAAAAGCTATTTCAGAAGGTCTCAGCAAATGTACCTATACCGGCTACAAACAATTTCCAACTTTAACCTCCACAACAACAAAGTGTACATTCCCTTAACTCGTATACAGTCGTGTCAATAAACAACGTGACAGTGAACGGCCACTCGTTGACGTGGTCCCTGGTGTCGCGCCGGTGTGTGGACAGGGCGGGGACCAGGTTCTTCATGAGAGGAGTCGATGCTCAGGTGAGACGCTTATTTCGTATATGATAAGGTGGATTTTAGCTTGACAGATTCGTGATGTTAGTAATTTTGTGGATTTACTTTGACATAAATTTAGATTATTGTTTTGAAGTTTTGTCAATTAAATGTTTATTTTAATACTCATTTTAATTGATTTTGCGCACTTTGAACATTGTCAATTAGATTTCATGACGACCAAAATTAAATGACGACTGGCACGCACACACACACTCGCGAACGCTCTCTCTCTCTCTCTCTCTCTCTCTCTCTCTCTCTCTCTCTCTTTCACTCACACTCACTCTCTCTCTCTCACACACAAACTACAATAAATATATAACTATTTCTTCCCTCAGGGTAACGTAGCGAACTTCGTGGAAACAGAACAGATAATAGAGCGAGGCGGCGAGAAGTCATCCTTCGTACAGACTCGGGGTTCGATTCCATTATACTGGAGCCAGTACCCCGACATCAAGTATAAGCCCGCCATGCAACTGTCACACGAGGACCATGTCGCCGCTTATACTAAACATTTGAGGGATCAGCAGCAGAGATATGGGAATCAGGTGCTCGTTAATTTGGTGAGTTCACTTTTGATAATTTAGTCAAAATTGTTATATAAGGTCTAACAAAAATAGTGCACAATATTTTAACAGGTGATACAGTACATGATAAGGATTATGTTTACCTAAAAAAAAATGTAAACAACAACATGTTTAATTAAATTTATCATCACAGTTTTTATAAAATATTTTCATAAAAAAATGATGTTTATCACATACTAATTGACCTACTAAAATATTGTGCACTATTTTTGTTACACCTTATAACCGTATGTTACATACAACTTACAAATAATATAATTGAATATTAATTTGAGGTGAAATATGTCAGTTAACCCATAAATCACCAAGCGGTCACCGGTGACCGCTTTCCACTAATATTACATTACATTATAGACCTTATTTGTAATGTTTAGAGACTACTTTTGTATGACCAAATGACAATGACCAAATTTGTATGGAGCGTGGTGCCTTTTAATTTTTTCGCGGCAGTTGATCAAATGTGGATAAACTGATGCAGAATAACATTACAAACAAAAAAATATATGGGGTCTTATACCAAAAACACAGTCCGAACCGAGTTAAATCAGTTCAAAGATGTGAAAATAGTGCTATATTATTCCTGTTATTTGTTGATGGTGACCAGTACACAACGCATTTAACTTCATTTACTTGTCAGAAATATTTTTTAATAAATGATTATAAACGATTTCAAGGAATGTAATAAAGCTTATTGTAGACTATTTTTTTTTTGTTTTTTTTTTTTGTGTTTGGCTTTATGACCACGGAACCAGAACAGAGTGAACCGTTAACTGGCTAAACTGCTCAAGTAAAAAAAAAACATTTCGCTTGATTGGCTAGCGTATTCACTTTATATGTATACGGTTTATGGCCTATGACAGATTTTCATGATCAATTTCCTCTCAGTCGAAAACCCGCAAAATACCTTACTGAGCCCTATCATGAAATGCTATGTTCGTCAGCTGCGGCGTCGATAGCGGATTAAGTAGCGCTCATCACTTTAAAAGTCGACGGTTTCCTTTCTTCAAAAGATTATGCAAACTATAAAGTAGATGAGTCTCCCACCAGGAGTCAATGGCAAAAAAAAAATACTTTATTAGATGTTTGGACGGTTACCACTACTCAACCCACCACTGGTACCACAGCTGACGCTCATGAAGCTTCATGACACAACTCCTAGAAGCATCCCACAAGTTATCGACTGAGAGAAAATAGGTAATAAAAATTAGTGCCTGGTAATATGAATATATTGTGGTGTGATATGGTTTTCCTGTGCCTGGAATACAGTGGCGCGCAATTCGAAGTTAGAAATTGTGACAAAAATATGAATAATTTGAATAAAAAACCGAAGTAAAATGTTTGACTCCAGATCCTTTCAACGCTCATAACTCAGTCTAGACTGAGATTTCCATATATGAGCCCATAGACAATTTCGTTTGTAATGTCATTCTAGATAATATTTTCCATAAATCATCGACTGCCGCCAGAAAAAAGAAAGGCACCAATTTTAATCAATGCCCTTTAGGGGATGGATTTCAACGGGTTAAGCTAACGATAATTTAATTCGAACATTTTAAAAAATATTCTAAATAAAAATAGCACTACTTTTCTTCACTTGTATTAAATATAATAGACATAGGACTTATAAATATAATTGAAACACTTATTTTGTCTTACCCATCAGTGTGACGTCGAAACGTTAATCATTCAATTCTGTCCAATTATATCAATCAATTTACGATTAATATACATTCGGTTCTGTATGGCACGGTTGGCGCGGTGATTGGGCAACTGACTGCCGCGCAAAGTGTCGTGGGTTCGATTCCCGCACGGAAAAACCCTTTGTGTGATCCCCAGATTGTTGTTCCGGGTCTGGGTGTGATGTGTATGTGAACTTGTATGTTTGTAAACGCACCCACGACACTGGAAAAAATCATAATGTGGGGTAACTTTTATATAAATAAAACTTCGTCACTCACCCCAATGCCTTTGCCTCTGTCCGTCTCAGATCGACCAGCACGGCAAAGAAGAAGCGTTAGAGCGCGGCTTCCGCGCTGCAGTAGCGGCGGCGGCACTGCCCGGCGTGCGATACGAACCCTTCGACTTCCACGCAGAGTGCCGCTCTATGAGGTACTACCGGCTCAACGTGCTCATTGACAGGATCAAGTTGGAACAGGTACTTATAACATCTTTTTGTATTCAAGTTACGTACGTGAAAAAGAATTTATGGTAAAAATAATTCGGGGACGCTCGACTAGTTTCGAGCCAGGCTGGAGTTCATGTTGATTGTGCGATGTCATTCGCTGCAAAATTTTGTTTATTCCACGACACTTGTCTTTTTCATTTTCAATGTAAATTCTTTTTCCAGGCGGAATTCGGTTACTTCCTCTCCCGCGGAGGAACAGTCCTCCTTCGACAGAACGGAGTGTTCCGCACCAACTGCGTGGACTGCCTCGACCGCACCAACGTAGTACAGAGTCTGTTGGCGCGGCTACAACTGAACGCGGCGCTCAGGATACTCGCAGTCACCAGCACTGATGATGAGAAACATACTGAGTTCGATAACCTGTTTAATAATGTGAGTATAATATCAGTAATCTTACTTCTTACTTATAATACTATAGATGCAAAAGTTTGTGTGTATGTTTTAAGTTTTAAGTGTGGGAGAGCCATGCTTCGGCATGAATGGGCCGGCTCGACCGGAGTAATACCACGGCCGAGCAGAAAACCGACGTGAAGCAACGCTTGCGTTGTGTTTCGTCGTATGAGTGAGGTTACCGGAGGCCCAATTACCCTCCCCTTCCCCAATCCTGAATCCTCAACGATCCTCAAACTCCTACTCCCCAAAAGGCCGGTAACGCACTTGTAACGCCTCTGGTGTTCCAGGTGTCCATGGGCGACGCGGCAAAGATACGAGGTGGTAAAGTTGAAATTCGGAAAGAGCACGTCAAAATCCATAAAATAGGGTATTCTCACCAATTTTTAATGAGATCAATTTTACTTACTTGAAACATATTTTGTATTTTGCATTTTTGAATTATGAATAAAATTTTATTTATTTATTTATCTATCAACAATTAATTATAACGTTATGTTATTTGTATAGTTCAAAACGTGAGGATTTAAAAAAAAATGTGGTTATTCCATAAAAACATAGGATTAATTTTAAATTTCAAAGAATCAAAGTTTTATTATCTGTATGTCACGTGACCAAAAACGTCGTCCGCCATGATTTTCTCGAGTGACGTCGGAAGTATCAAAATAATTTATAGTAAACAATAGCATTCTTGTCAAGTCAAATTTTAACTACTTTTTGTGTTTAATAAATAAAATTTTAATGTAGAATTGTTGCAATTTAACGCAACACACTAACGATATGGGTTATTGAAACTCATCTTTATTTAAAAAATACAACAAAATCACAACGCAACCAACTTGTTTACAAAATCTATGGCTTGGCCATTTGACGTTTAAATATTTTCATACTACTGATGTCACCAAAATGGCGGTTCGTGTTTTGGCGCGTATATTTTACGACAAATTTTTGATTTTTTTTTTCGGCGTAAAGCGGTCATATTTTGCTGAAATAAAAATTATACTTGATATCTTGATATTACACTAACATTTAAAAAAAGAAATCAAAAAGTTGGAGAATAGCCTATTACCAATTTTCAAAACTCCCGGAAAACCTTCCAAGTAAAAATACCAAATGACTGTATTATACGGACTAATTAGAATTTTAATTTTCATACCCTGTCGTCATCCTTATTAGCTACACATGCTTAATCAATCTCAAAATTATCCATTAATTTAAGTGCCTTATTGGTCGATTGATGTCAGATATTAATTTTTATTTGATATTATATACCAAACTTTGTTTAGTCTTCATCGTCTATCAATCTAAAGTATTACAACATAATCCTGTCTCCTCCCCCAGGTATGGGCAGACCACGCAGATGTAATATCGACCCAGTACTCCGGTACAGGCGCCCTGAAGACAGACTTCACCCGTACTGGCAAACGAACCCGACTGGGGCTTGTAAGGGATGGGGTCAACTCTCTCACTCGCTACTACAAGAATAACTTCAGCGATGGGTTTAGACAGGTATGTATTTTATTAGTAACCTCTGCTTTTCTTCTTGTGGATGTTGTAAGAGTTTTTAGGGAATAGAGAGTAAAGTTCCCTAAGATGGGAAAAGGAGGATCATTCGACCAGGCGAGGTGATCGTGTCTGGCGGGCTTTCTGCTCAACAGTTGTTCGTTGGGATTTTCTATCCATGTTAATTCGCTTGTAAACTTCACATGTGCGATTGTACTTGATTTGACTAATAAGTTGACATTGTGTTGTTCAGGACTCCATCGACCTGTTCCTGGGTAAGTACGTGGTGACGGACGGCGAGGGGAACACACTGCCCTGTCCACTGCGCAGGGACAGAGACTGGAAGTATATCACGGTGAGTCATGTGTACCATCATATCATAATATCTATACATATAATAAAATCGTAGGAAAGTGAAAACTGTACATCGAATATTTTCTTAAAATAACGCTTTGGGCGTGATCTACAATCGATACCTATAGTAACTATCGTGAGACATACTACTAAATTAACTAAAAACTCCGGGTTGCTCTCGTGAATATACTGAGAAAAGCTCAACTAGTTTCGAACCACAGAGGGGTTCTTCCTCATGAGCAGCAGTCTACTCTAGTAGAGCTTTTCTCAGTATATTCACGTGAATAACCAGCGATTTTTAGTTAACATGAAAGATTTTTTTTTAATTGGAAAAGCCTGCCACATCCTCCCAAAACCGCCACAACTTCTGTAAGCCAGAATCTACAGTAGATACAACCATGAAAACATCGGAACACTGAAGTCCGGCACGCCCCAGGGATGTGAATGTCTTGGATCGCGCAACGAAGTCAATCAGAAAATATTATAAGAGAAGGGAAAGTAAGTTGTGAACATGTTGGTACAGTTCCCGTCGGTGCTGCTGGTGGCGATGTCGATGTTCTGCGCGAGCGCGAGCCTGCCGCAGCGGTACACCAGCGAGGTGCTGCTGTACCTCATGTTCTGGGGCGCCGCCGTCACCGCCACGCTCACCTTCATATTCAGGTATATACTGTCCTCTATGTAGTTACTCTGTTAAATTAAAAACTTTTTTTATTTTTTTAAATATGCTCCACACTAGGATTATCTCCTGTGTCGTGGGTGCGTTTACAAATATACAAGTTCACATACACATGACACCCAGACCCGAAACAACTATCTGTGGATCACACAAAGTGTTGTTCCGTGCGGGAATCGAATGAATAATGGTACAAAATACTTGTTTCATAGTTAGTTACTCGTCAAGTACCGTCATTATAGACACAATTATAGAACAATAGGTTGCGGTCACCGGTGACCACTTGGTGTTTGACAGTTTAACATTACGAAGTACAGGTTTGCGTTCGATACAGGCTTGATAAAGTTACCTAAGTAATGAAAACCCTGACACTCAAACAGTCGTATTTTAAATAATAATAATTATTATACTCAGGTGTGATTCCACGTGAGTCCTTAGTCTTAGTAATTTACCCTGGTCCGGTAAAAATATACAAAATGCTGTGCTACAAAATTGGTAACAGCGTCATCCTAAAACACAAACACTACTTAAAAAAGTCCAATTAATCATTCAACCCAGCCATTTAAGGGTTCAATGACACAAATATAACATACATAACATCACGCCTTTTATCCTAGACGGGGTACGCAGAGGTGCAGGTTACGGCACTTAATGCCACTGTACAATG